TTGGATTGGTAGCCTGTGCAGTCACGTCTCTAATTATAAGACTTCCTCTGAAGCCTAATCTCTCCTGGAAATTGACTTTCAAGTCGGGACTTTTAAAAGCTCCGGCATCGAATGTGATACTGTGCTGACGTCGAAATGTGATAAGATATCGCAGTAATTTGTAGCCGTCTTTAAATGAGATTCTGCTGTTAATTAACAAAAGTCAAATATACATATTAATAATTCTTAAATTAGAGCATATTCGGTCAACTAGAGAACCGGCCTAATCAGAAATGATCGACTTATCTTTCTCTTAAAAAAAAAAGAGAAAATCGTTGGCCAAGACTCCTTGGGAATGAGGTTTGAGAAAAGGGATTTGGAAGATCATTAACTCGATTCGGAAGATAGAGACAGTCATGGAATGCGATGAAGTGTAACTGCGTCCTCTATGACATTTCCGGTTCGGTCGATTTTGACGGAGCACCAAACTGAAAAATCCGTTGAATTTTTCATTTATATTTTCTCGACCAAACAGCTCAGAAACTGGTTTTTCGACAGATACGTTCTTTGAAATGAGTGTTCTTTCTATCATGACTGCTTGTTCGGAACATTTCATGCTATATGAAAAAAAAAAAAAAAAAAAAACCTTTGCCGTTGGATTTTATGGCACCCATACTGCAGTTCTATTGTGTTAACTGTTTTATTGTGTTATTAAGAAATACATGGAGGGCCTCTCGAGATATTCATCTGCGAAATGTGCTGTTACTTTTTCTCATTAAAAGGTTTTATGCTTTATTTCAGGGTTGCTATCACAATAACAAATCTCAGTACAGGCCCCAAGCCTTGCTAGTGTCGAGTGTGCTATTGATTCCGCAATAACACACTTAACACTTATCAAAGTTTGCGGTGAATGTCCATTAAATATATAGTCTTGGCTATTCCTTCCTCATTAGAATATTAAGATGAAGACATTTCTTTAAATGTCGTGTTTTTTCTTTTTTTCCCCAATAAAAAGCTATAACGTTAGTTTTCTAAATTTAAAATTAAAAAATTTTAATCAACCCAATCTTTTATATACGAAAATTCTTTATTGATAGAGTTAGTAATTTCATTTAATTTTTTTGTAATAAAGAAAAAGATAGGACCTAAAACTGTAACCTGTGACACACCGTATTTTACTGATAATATTTACTGCAAGACCCACTTCTAGTTTTCTGAGCCCTATTAGAAAGATATGATTTGCAATGTACAGTCCATTGAAGATAATTTTAGATAACTTTAGAATTAGTTTTGTTTGGACAACAGACTCAAATGCCTTCTTAATGTCCAAAAAAGTCTACAAATTTTTTTTTACAGAATCCCATTCTTCAGGAATCAGATTATTAATAGGGCTTGTCATGTTGATTACTAGGAAGTAAACCAAATTAATTATTACATATTATATTATTTTTGTAAAGAAATGAAATTAATCGATTTTTGATACGTTTTTTCCTGATTATTGCTAAGGATAGGATTAAAGAAATGGGTCGATAGATATTGATATCTAATTTTGATCCACATTTAACTAATGATCTTTTAAAATATATGGAATATTCCAGTAAAAGAGACCAATTACAAATATGAAGATGGGGAGGAATGATGTAAGCTAAAATCAATGCAATCAGGCTGATAAGTAATTACCAAAAAATAAGGTTTTATTATTAGAGGGTTTTTAAACAATATTTCTAGTTCTTCAATACTAACTGGGTTCAACACAAATGAAATTGGATTCGATTTAAAGCTGTGAATTATAAGGTCTGAGTTTGTATAATATTTTATTTTTGATTGAAAGATTGAGTTTTTTAAAAAATTAAAAAATTTTAATCACGTAAGTTATTGATTTTGATCACTTTATTTTAACATGAAATTTGACTTTGATTTTTACTATTAGCACCCACGTTTGCTAATATGAAAAAAATTAATAAAGGCATTTGCAATTTATAAATCAGTTTTAAGTATTTCTTGTGAGTTTGCCTCCTAATTGTAAATTGTTTATGGTGACTAAAGGTTTTGGTAGATTGACATTTTTGTGCAAACTGAACTAACTACATTTTTTAAATTGTTTTTGTAGGAACCCCTTAAAAGCTGGCCATCTTATTGGATAACTATAATTTATTTTTGTGTCAATCTTGCATATTCAGTGAGGGTGTAGTGATCGACCAACAGTTGTTATTTCTAGATGGAATGTGGTCCATAATCGCCCATAATCAATCTTGCACTATTTTTTTACGCTGGTTTTAGGGCCGGCGTTACATTGGTCATCGCCAGCCCTTTTTTCTTTAGGTTTGCATTGCTTTTCTGGCTTTGTGATGTTTTTATAACGGTAGACAACTCTGTCTGTTTTCATTATCCTTTCCTCTGCATTTCAGCGCCTCTGTGGGTAAAATAACACAAATAATGGACAAAATTACACAGAAACACAAAAACATGTTAGTGTGGTTTGCATTCACATAATCCTAGAGTACTGGATATCCCTCGGGGTAATTGGGGATATGCCCCTCCATTCGCGCTAATAAATCACATTCACACAGCATACTTCGTTCACGCTACCCCAGATTATTTCGATATTCCTCTTGCATAGGAGAGCATATTATATAATACAATTAATTAAGGTTTTTAGTTGAGATGAAGAAAAGTTAATGGCACGAGCGGGATTCGAACCCACGATCTTCGGCTAGATACGCCGCTGCTCTACCACTTGAGCTATCGTGACCTCGATCCACTCGGACATCAACTTCCTATCTCAACCCCACCTTATGAGTTTTCCCTCCTTTTTGCCATTATTATATAATGTAAAAATAAAATAAAATATTTTATTTTAATGCCTCAAAGCATTTAAAATTTTGTAATATTGAACACGTTACATAATTAAAGTATGTAATGTCTAATTTCTGTTTATTGGTCGGAATAAGTGAAACTGAGCCAGTGTGAAAAATTAGAAAGGCAAACTGTGGGAGTAACAAGTCTAGGATTTTTTGTATACGCCCAAAAAGGAAGTCCGGTGACTTTTAATGGGACGGCGTATCTGTCAATTAGACGTTGGAGTGCTCTGGTTATAAGTTTTATAGTAACAGCCTTCCCGGATTATCTTGAAACGAAATGGACTCTCCCTAATTGCTATACCCAGCATTCCTAATGGAACCCAACCGACCTCTTGAGATTAATAACGGCTTGATGAGAAACGGGGATTGATTGGCGATATAAATTTGAGTTTTTATGTCGGTCTCATTGTTCATTTTCATCGGTTTTTTTCCCCCCTGAAAGATTTTATTTTAAGATATCTGAAAATCACGTTGTCATCGGCTTTTTATATTTAATCGTTTTGGTAAATTTTCGGTTCTTTGAAAATTGAAATTATGATTGGTAATGGTACACTCGACGTTTAATAAGTCCAGTGACACATTTCCTGCCTAACACATCCAACATTCCCACGACCTCTTGTTTCATTTGTACACCGGACATATGAAGTAATATCTCTTCTGAAAAAGATTTAATCATACACAGAGGCGATGCCTTCGGCTATGAATAGTAGGCGGATTCGGATCTGAACTGTAATCATATAGACTTAATTCTAAGAATGATTGAAACGTCTTGGCGTACAGAATTGTAATGCCCATCTTTCTGTTTGTTAACCAGTGTATTTTGACCGATCTTTATCTTAAATTGCTCTTACACATTTTACCCTTTTCACAATTATAACTATCCCAGTAAGTATTAGGCTGTATGCCCCAAAATTACTGTTCCTCGGCCCTGTGCCTTTTTCTCTGTGGCCCAAGAAAATTATACGTTCCCACAGTTCCGTTTTAAAACAATGAACTACGTTATTGAAAGTTGACATTTCATTGAGAGATATGTTACCAATTGGAGAGATGTAATCATTTTCTTTCTTCTCCAATCAGATCAATAAATAAATTTGGTAAATTTTATGTCCCATCCAAAGTAATGTTTAACTGTAAGTAACTAGGAGTATAGGCTACTTCGATAAAAAAAAAATCTCGTTTAATTTGATAGAATCCTAAAAACAGAAACTGACACCAATAAATTAGTGAACTGACACCACAAATAATTAAAAAATTGTTGTACTTCTTTCTATTAGACAAATTTTAAATATTATACTGACATACTACGCTACCTTTATACTATGCTTTCATTAAATTAAATTAAGTTGGGAATTTTCAGGCAATAAAATCCTTAAGCATGACTATGGCATAAAATTGACGAAACGTTTCAAAAATATTAGCATCATATGCAAATTAATTCTTGTTAAAAAATTCCCAATAGTAAATAGAGGCAAAAAAAGGAGATAATAAATAAAAACAGAAAAATGGTAGATCGACAGCTCGTGGCGTATGTAAATCGAAAAAGTCGTTTTTTAAATTGAACTTGTTTGTTTGGGCTTCAGTGTACACTCCTAGGGTAAACATCAATGTTTACTCTTTATAAAAATGGCAAACTCTAATCCAGCCTTTAGTTACCCTTTCAAACGGATTAAAGCAATTGTTGAATCACAAATTCGTTCCATTTTGCTTTATAAACTTCCTAAGTCGGTTTAAAAGCGAAAGTGCTTGCAAAATATGCACTCTATTAGGAGTTTTGGTTTTCGAAATTTCGTGATGCCGATGAAACACGCTAAGACGATATTCAGTAAGTCCAAAGATAATTGATGCACAGGAACTGAGAGATTTAATTGAATAGAGGTTCAAACTGCTCAGAGACAGCTTCCCGATCTAAATCAACTCTTGGACCTGTATGAAATTGTAAAAGTAAAAAACCCTAGATAAATTGATTACCGATGGCAATTGTACTTTATCTATAGCGTCTTTTTTTAGCTTCCCGCCAAAAAAATCGATCCTTCGTTTTAATAGAATCGGCACTTATGATGAAAAATGTGATGTGGTACCTTTCTTAAAATTAATTAGATTGTAAAATAACAGTTGTTCTTTCATTAAAACCGTTATCTAAATTCCATTTAATTTTTTCAGATGGTTTTGCCACTTTGACGATGACAACTACGTGAACGTCAATCGTCTTGTACACCTGCTGGGCGACTACAGCCATCAGGAGGACTGGTACTTAGGCAAGCCGAGCATAAGGACCCCGTTGGAGATACTCAATCGTGAACCGAAGCCTCAAAAAAAGGTAAGACGTTTGAAAGAATTTAATAAGCACGGGATTCATCAATCTTCAAGTGGCGATTAGCGAGAGGTCCACGTTAAAACAATAAGTGCTATCAGATCCAATGTCGGTGCTGATCTACGACCGAGAAATCAACCGGTCTTGTGGATTCCATGCGTCATTCTTCATGTGTAATCGGAACGGATCTCAGAGGTTCAGAATATTTTCGAACACGGCAGGGTGCCGTCTTTGGCTTGATTAACGTCCAGTTGATTCATTTCCTTAATTAACCTAAAATATATATACACTATATATATATTTTTTGCCAGTAAAATTAACGGATTTACGGATGCTTCCGTAAGATTATTTTCATATTCACTCATGCCTTACATTTTCCGTTAATCTGATTCATCTATAAATTGAATTTGGTGAATTTATCGTCTTAATTAATAATGAAAATGTACCCTGGAAGTGTATTTGCAAAACTTCAATTGGAGGTCGGATTTCGATTTGAACGTCGTATCAGTTGGATAGAATTCGGGATAATGGGGGCAAACAGCAAATCCGTGGCCCTCCCCCTGACAATTACAGCTACTTTATGTCCGTCCTCAGACCATCGTCAGTATTAAGTAAGAGTTAGGCTCCACCTGATGATACGGATCACAATTCGACCGCGGTACTTAAACCTTTCCAAATTTCTTCCCAGACCAATCAGTATAAATCACGGTGGACATTGAGTATCGTTTTATTGGAAAGGACGCCGAATTTGGGGTTCGGCTTCGAACACGGCCGTCGATATCATCGGTATTAAAGGTATCAATTCTCAAAAGTCGAAGTTCAAGGAAAATCAAATTACAAAAACGGATTATTTAAACAAAAATAATTCTTCCACATGATCCTGTCCTTTTTCAAAAAAAGTTAATATTAATTGCTAGCTTTCCCCCACAGTTTGATACTTATACGTGGAACTTTGTTCACTCCAAAGTAGAACATATCGCCATATTTTGTAGAATACACATGTTGCTTCACTACATAGGTAAAATTTCTGTAAATCTGGTTACAATAAATATTCTAGGTTGATTCTAAGATAAATCCGTTAGGCATTTTGCCACCAAATCCTCCTATTCCTCCAGCATCGGTCTACCACCGGTTACAAGCTATCACCGTGTTTCGCAGTGCTAGCTGAGAGAACAGAAAATAGCTGGATTAGTAGAATTTTTCTAGAGCAAAAGGGTTGAAAACGTGTTGGGGCGAGGGACAAGAATTTTAATCTGACGTTGGTTTGCCAGGGGTGATCAATTCAATTATCGTGTCGTGTCTCTCAGGTTTACACGGTTCGACCGCACTACACGACTCCCGGCCGGCTTATGGGCCGGACCATCACTTATCAAAACAGCTCATCCTGCTGTCATGTTTATTCATAGTAGGAGCCCCCATCGGGCATCTATCTGATCTGGATACTCGACGTAAATGCCGTACTGGTGGATCAACCTGTCGTCCGTGAATGGATTCTCGGATTATTTGTCGAGGAATAATAATAATGCGTACTAAATAAACTAAGAAATAATACGAAAAAATATTAAAACGGATTTTTTCATTGCTATATTTTGTACATGTTCAGAGAATAAGGCCGTACAAATGCCCTTGCAGAAGTTCCTTTTCAAGCTTTTGTATCTCACTTTTCTCTACTATTTTTTTTTCCTTAAGGGAGCGACAATTAATCAGTTTTTGAGTCTGGAGCACGTACAAGTTGTAATCAGGGAGCTGGTCATAAACCGGTTGTGCCACGTACGCCCTTTATAATAATACTCGCCTCGACTCTTGAGCCTTCCTCCTTAATTTTAATCCAAGGCTTAGATGGGAACTCGAGATAAGCCTGTTTTTTTTTTACACTGCCCCTCATTCGTGACGGAGGCCGCTTTTAAAATTTTAATTATTCCCCTTAAGTAAAGCAAATGAAGGCACCGTGTTTTAGTTTTTTAGGGAATCAAGCAATTCTTCACCCTTCTGCAGTGATGATTTTATGCAAAAGTATGCAATATCCTGCAGGATATACTTACTTTTCGTTATTCTCTTATCAATAATGTTAATATAGCAGAGTGATATAAAAATAAATGACTGCATTTTTTTACGAGGGTTCGCAACAGCAGAGGTCATATAAACCCTCAGGGTGCCGGTGTTTTTGAAAAAAAGCCCATTTGTAAGTATGTCGGGTTCGAATGCAGGCCCGCTGGATACCTTTACCTTACAGTGATGAGCGCGGTGTCAAAGACTAAACCTTGCGGCCACCGACGCCCCCCAAAAAATGACTGGGTATAGAACGCTATGTTAAGATTGAAGGGGTCACTACATAAAAAAAAGTAAAAAATATTTTCCTTTTTATTTGTCTAAACCTTTAATTCTTTTTAGATATTTCGTTATAAAAAAATAATAAAAATTTGATTACTGAAAGTACACTAAATAATTTATTAAAAAGTGCGAGTATTGCGGTTGGAGAAGGCCCAGATTTAACTCGTGGTTCGTATTTCCCAGGAGGTAATTAATATGTTTCGCCGGGATGACCCGACCGATTTAACCACCGCGATCTGAAAATGCAATAACATGATTATATATAAACATGATTAAAAGAAAGTGGTCGTGTCGGCGGGCCAGATCATAGAGAAGCTCTCGCCTATCAAGAGCACTGTCGATGGAACTCGAAGGACCTAACTCGTAGAAGAATGGATTTAGAAGGAAAAACAGAAGCTATACAAGGCTGCTTTGAAACCGGGAATAGTAACAGCATAAAAGTAGTATACACGTATGGGTCGAAATCAGAAAAGGGAGTCGGGGCCCTAGAAACAAGACATTTAAAAAAGTTAAGCTCTCCAATATAGCTTCAATATACACAGCCGAGAGTATGGCTATACTTGAAGCGTTGAGATATATTCAAACACTACCAGACCAAGAAACTGTCATAATCTCCGACAGCCTTAGCGTGCTAACGGCCATCAAATATGCGACTCGCCAACAGAATCCCCTAATAGATGAAATGCTGGATATGATTGAGAATATAAATAAAAAAGAGGTTGACCTCCACTTCATCTGGGTCAAAGCGCATCATGTAAATAGGCACAACAACGAAGTAGACTTACTCGCAAAAGACGCTGCACAGAATGGGGTTCCTTACAACATTATCGTCCCATGTGATATCACGGCTCACCTGAAACAAATTGCAAGGAGGAAATGGCAGAAACAGTATAACGAGTCCAAAACAACGAAAGGCCAGTACTACGCTAATATACAGCCTAGCATCCAACATAATCCCTGGTACCTTAAAGTGAATAGACCAAGAAAGTTCTTCACGACGATATTCAGGTTACGGTCTAATCATAACCAATTACCATACCACCTTGCCAAAATTGGTATTGTGGACAGCGCCGGTTGTGGATGCGAAGCGAGGACCATTGCTGACTCAAACCATGTGATCCTGGCATGCAAAAGAAACACGATGGACGGAGGTTTTGTTCTCAGAACTAAAACAAAATGGAGTAAAATTCCCAACAAAAATGGATATCGTACTCTCAGACACAAGAAAGATCCCGGTTCTCGATGCACTTGTAGCCTTTATAAATAAGAACAATATACATATTTGACAACACGAAGTACATACGGCAGGAACGAATAAAAAATTAGTTTGACTCGTTCGGGGCGTGGGGTGGCCCGGGGACGGGTGGGTTTGGGTGGTGCTGGTCTGTGGGGTCGGGTGCCACAAGCGGCTTGGACGTGTTTTGCACCAGATTCTATGGGGATGTGGTCTTTTCCATGGTGTTGTAAATGGTTTTTATCCACATCCCCGAAAATGGAAACCGTATATAAGCCCTAAAAAGAAATAAATAAGTATGAGTGCTGGTCCCCTTAGGCAGGCTTGGGCATTCTCTTGCTTTCCGGCTGCGCCTTGCCTGTCCCTTCGGGCTTCCGCATGCTGCGAGGGAGAGAGAAAAAAAAGAAGAAGAAGAAATAAATAAATGGCGGATGCTCAAACGGCGATGCAAAAAAAAAAAAAAACGGTCACCGGCAACCGATCAAGGATAGGTTGACACACGGACACTTAATTTTGCAGCACTTGAGCCTGGCAGCGACTATCTGGATCCCCTGTTTCGAGTTTTGGAGGAAACAGGGCTGTTTTATTGCATACAGTAATGATAGTTTTGTGTATATAGTGTGGGTTAAGAATACATGTGATTATTAGCGTGAATGGTGGGGGGAGGGCTGATGGCATTGAAAGGCTGTTTAAAAGTAGAATGCCATTTCATATCTAAACGTGCGTGGTAAACCTAAATTCAGTCTCTTTATTTCTTATACACAAAGTTTATCTTAGCCAACATAATGTTTACCGTAAGATACATATGAGTGTTATTAAAGTGTCTATTTTTTTATATCTCAAACATTATAATTTATAAACATATCAATCACATTACGTTCAATTGCTCTGGAGTAAACAAAGAGAGATATATGCCCATCCGTATGTGTTTTTTTTTTCAAATAAAGCAAAATTAGCCATCCTGATTTCCTCTAAATCCGAAATAATAATTTTCATTTTACGAATATCCAACTAAAAACGTGATTAAAACAAGGTTGCAGCGTCGGCAGAGAAGCTCTCAACAAGAGCCCTGTCGATAGGTAGCCCTCGGATGATCTGTCTCGTACAAGAAGGGTCATCCTCACGCCATAAGGATAGGCCATGCGAGTTTGACACACGGGCGCTGACTTTTGCACACTTGAGCACGACAGCGAGTATCTGGGTCCCCTGTTCACATTTTTGGAGGAAAAAATAGTTGCTTTATTGCATATAGTACTGTTAGTTTCGCGTACATCGTGGGTTAAGAGTAAATGGATTTATTAGCATGAATGTGTAATCGGTGGCAAAATGTGAGCACCTTGTTGACCTTCAATTACGTAGTTATATAATATATGCAGAGGATGATGGAGGAGTATCGAGTACTACACCATTCTGAATGTATGGTATGTAAATAGTTAATAATTTATTTAAGAATGAGTTAGCGTGTGAATGGGTTTAGATCTATGAATTGCACGTGTTGGGTGCTGAATTAACCCAGATATCGACAGCAGGTCTGACCCCGGACTGCCAACACCGAGGTAGGTGATTCTCGAGGCCTACCGGTAATTTACTGTAAATTACAAAAATTGGAATTGCAGGAGAACTGCGAGAAGTGATAGCCCCAACTGTGTGCATGTGTGTATGCACTTAACATATTCAGTTTTTTTAAATTGTTAGTAATTTTTTTTTGTAATTACTAATAAAATTTTAATTGTTAGTAAATAGTGCGTATTTTGTACATACAGATTTATAAAATTAGAATGGAAATGTAATTATGGCATAATTAAACAAATGAAACATACCTTTTTTTAAGAACATCTTTTAAAAATTCAAATGTCATAAATTCAAAATTATCGACAACCATTCAACAACAGGTGCACAATATTTTATTGGGCACGGTGACGGGATTGAGAAGATAATTATGGCGAAAGGAGGCCAATTTTCCCATGAGATAAGACCGAGGTGATGACCCCCCTAAACCCAGAATTCGGAGATTATTATTTATATGGCGCGTTTAATTTTATTGCCCTTAAAAAAAGAATAACTTAATGTCTTAGCGGTCTTAAATTTTTTATCACAGCTCGGGTATTTGTTGGTGAGCCATTAAGGAGTTTAAAAATCAATTAGGAGAATTCATTCATTTGCATCATCAATATTAATATACATATGTGTATACAAACAGAAATATATTTATATTTAAACACCATTTAATCTGTGTTGTCATCCAAAATTGTACAAAAGATTTTGGAGAAAAATAACTGTCATATTTTACTCTTGGGATTATCCATATTTAATTACAACCATGTGATGTACGAGTAAAAGACTGTTTTTTTCCTGTTGATTTATACCATTTCCGATTCACACAAACGCTAACGAAAAGGTTTATTTCATTTTTCAAGTCGGCGTAAGTCGGATATTTTCTCTTTTTTTGTTTCCTTAAACCCTCCAGGCAATTAAAAGGCAACATCATTTCACCCACAAATCATGAATTAGAAGAGAAGATGAGAGTTTGTGGGAGTGAAACAGGCCCTGGATAATTATAGGTGGTGGCTAGGACTCGTAGTGTGTGTGTATTTGTGTGTTTGTAGGGGTAAACTTGCAATTAACCAGGTGTCCTATCCGCCTTTCTGGCTACCATCGGACACTATCCATTAGTAGGTTGAAAAAAACCCGAAAGTCAAAATCCTACGGCTAGATGTTAGTCTAAAATAGTCAAACAATGGGATTTCCAAGGTCAGCCTTATTATAAACTAATTTTCACGGGTAAATGACCTAGGTGAGTTAATGAAACGAGATTGAAAAGGAGAGGCAAATGCCTCCGAAATCGATCTCGATTCAATAAAAAGATAGGGTTGTCCTGTTCCAGAATAGACCGGTTGAAAAAAAAAATAAATAAGTATATTAATTGTGAGATTTCTTCTCGAGGTATGCGGGTAGATGAACCTGTAGTTGGGTCGTTTCCGATCATCCTAGAATTGAAAATTTCAATACCGACGACATAGGACATTCACAATGGTAGAAAAAAAAGGAAATGATCCAGCTTATGCAAAAGTTAAACGGCAACTTGGCGAAACCTGATCAACCAGATAAAACTCCGTGAAAGCAGAAATCTTTGCATAATCTTTTAAAAAATGTTGTGTACACATTTTCCTCCCCCCATAAAAAGGGCCACATTGAACAGTTCTTACAGTCGGTTAAATAAAAGCAGTACTATGAAATCTCGTAGTCAGATTGAACGAGATGCCTTCTCGTAGAGCTCGTCATTTTCCCCCTTTTTACCACAAACCGCAAATTAGTAGTTGCCTCAATAAACAATTTCCATCCGAAGTCTTGTAGGTTTTGTAGGCTGTGGTCTCAGCCACCGTGGGACTTGGGCTAACGAGTCAAATTCGTTAGCGAATTCAATGATTGCTCTCGGTTCGCCTCCATGATGGCTTTTCATCAATTATGTCTATTGATAGATGTTGGAACTCATTATTTACGGTTCTTTAAAAAAACCATGAGAAATTAAATTTTGAAATCTGTCCAACTTACCTTTTCATCGTTGTAACAATTGTTAATTATACTGATTCATTGTATATATATTTTGTAATTGTTTAATTACATAATTTTCTAATCTTGTTTTGTATTTTTTCCAGCAACACATATCGTTCTGGTTTGCTACTGGGGGTGCTGGTTTCTGTCTCAGCAGGGCATTAGCTCTGAAAATGATGCCGATCGCAAGGTAAATTTTTGACTTTTTAGCATAAAAAGTTCATATACAACGAGGATTTTTGGTCTTTTTCGTCAAGACATCCTCACGAGTAATTTTCACATAATTCACCTAACGCATTTTCCGTTCCAGGGACGGTAAAGTTCCTTAAATACTGCACATAAAAAATAAATTCATTTTATTACCAAATACAAAGAGTGTAAACTGAATGTCGCTATTTGTTTATAAATTGGCAATTTGTATTTTTGAAAATAATTCTTTGACTCATACAACCAATTTTTTTCTGTTTATTTTATAATTTTATTATTAAACGAAAGTTGTCACGTTGAAAGGGGAAGGTTGGTCTAACAGAAGCAAATCGTTTTATTGCCGAGGCAGCCTTTCTCTGATTTTATCACCATCATCCGAGCTATACCAACTTAATTTAATTAAATTAAAAATGTTGTTTATCTTGTTTTATGTCTGATTGCTTTATTAGAACGTTTGCCCATCTTTCGACGCTTTAAATAATTAATAATTAATTTGTTGATATCGAAGGCAGCAACAGTGAGGAAATTAAATAAATTCGTACAACTGACTCAACAATGAACCTTCCATAATGGCAACTATATATTTGAAAACGTACAATGGAATTGTTTACTTTAGATCTCTAGTAATAATAATAAAGTGGGAAGTTTATGGTCCGACAAACAGCTGAGGTCATCTCCGGCCCTCTGCGTGTTTTCCTTCTTTTTCTCTTTTTTCGCGCATATTTTGTTTTAAACTGCAGCCATTTGAGCATCTCGATCTGGTTACTCTCTGATTTCAAATATATACTACATTGATATCCTAGAATGCTAGTCTCTCGTTTGTACTTCAGGTTGCCAAATACAGAATAGAAACAACACATACAATACATATATATGTATATACATCACCACATACGTAGATGTTTGGTCACATTCACTCCCCCGAGTATTCGATATTCCCCGGGTGGGGTTATAAGCAACCCCTTCCTTTCACGCTAATAAATTACTTTTACTCTCTAGACTCATACACTCACCCCAGAGTAATTGATATTCCTCGGGGCTAGATCTTTAGTAACTTCAAAAAATAAATGTCGAAAAAATAGGGATACTCTCTGCAAATAACGGCCTAAACAAGTGCTTAAGGATGATGTATTATAGCGGTGGTGGGTTCGAATCTTGCTAGTGACGCTAGCTTTTCATCCCAAACAAGATCTTAGATGAAAAGTATAATTAATTAAAATAGGGCAATTATAACTACTTAATATACATGTTGAGTAAAGGGTTTACAATTGATTAAAAAAAATCGATTTCTCTAGTAAACATAAGATTTATTATATGAACAAAAAGGAAATGAAGTTGAATTCTGACCAGATATGAAACATCTTGTTAAAGAATATATATTACAAAAAGACAAACTAATTTGGATGAACAGAGTGCAGCGATGACCTCCTGAAAAAGGTGCGTTCGCTTGATGATGTCTGGAAAGGCGAGAGCAGAAGGTGCGTTCGTGCGAATTGGGGACTTGAAAGCATCTGCAAAAGCGAGAACAGAAGGTACGTCCGTGCGTACTGGCGACTTGAAAGCAACTGCGAAGGCGAGAACAGAAGACAAAACATCCCAGAGTAATTAACTACTTTGGATCAAGTTAGGCAGACCGAGATGGGCAGGTCACCGCGAGAACGGACCCCAAAGATTTTTTCTCGAGTTTGCTTCGCGAAATCCCTGATAGGAAGGTGAAGGTCGCAAGACCAAAATTGCATTGGCTGGCAACCTTCAGATTCATATCTCGATAGAGGTTATTGAGACATTTATAGGAGGCCAAGAAAGACTTCATTGAACTGTATCCCCATTGGATGATGGCTTTATCAGCGATAGTTTAATTAAATCTATGTCTAAGTGAAAAAAAAAAAGATCGGCCGCCAGAAAGCCCGTGTTTCAACTGTGTACAATAAAGTTAGAGCAGGACGATTACTGTGAAAGGAGCGGAGGAGCCCCTGGAGGCACGTGCATTACCGTGTGTAACCGGAAAGACGAAGGAGGGCCGAATCGGGTCCGAGGGGCACGGGACACCCGGAGGGCGAAACTTTCGTGACTAATGGCAACTATCGCAGGACGGAGGGCGTTATCCCTCGGGATCAACAGCTCCGGGCAGGCCGGCTAATATCAGAGTAACTCACCCCGGCCAGTACTCGTCTATTTATAAAATTACTCTCCGGCGGTTTTCTACACGTTAACCACCTCTTCCAGACAAACCCAATTTCTTCGGAGCATTACATCCTAAATCCCTTGCAATATTATTTTCTTATAATACAACTTAACTATCCTGATATAAATTTGCCACATCATAATTTGTCGGATCGATTTTCAGCGTATACACGCCCTAGGCGCTCTCTGCACTACTGCACGGTTAGTTTTTGCAGATGCTGCAGATCCTTACTCAAGTCCTACTTGAATACCAATATAGGTTTCCGTTTAAAAAATATTGTTTTTTAACTATTTTACTCATCAAGCGTTATAGTTATAATGGATCATTTAAAGATAATTGATATCTTCACTAAAACTATACTAACTTCAAACGTAGCCATCAAAACTAGAGATTAAATAAGTGTATTGCTAAAGGATATTTCTGACTGTTTTGTTACTTTTATCGCTTATAAATCGTAAGTTTAATTATTAGGCGAAGCTACATAATTTTGTAAGGGCCCTTGGTGGTGAATAGAAAATACTTCGTTCCATTCGATGGTGACACTTTCTATAAAATCGACTGAAGGTGTTTTTTACCTTCTATAAAATAGCCAACCAGCAATATCCCTACATTGATAGAGGAAGAGTCATCTCGTGGCTACGACGTTTCCCCCGATCTTACTATCATGGATACTTTTGGAGATTCCTTAAGGTGAAGGTGTACCAATCCAAAACCGTGGTAGTCCTGATGTTAAGTACCTACTTATGTTTTCTCAGGTAAGATAACGTTTCCATGGAAAATTACAAAAAATTGTAGCTCATCAGGGACTGAAGTTGGAAGTTGTTGCAAACAGGGTGTACTACCGCTCAAAATTATTTTTCTCTCTTTTTCCACTGTACACGACAGAGAATTTTAAGAGTGGTTTTAATGTTTAGTACTAAGCCCGTCTAAACAAGCCTGTGTCATCCGGATATTCCGTGTAGAGTCAAGATATCCTCTGAAGGCCTAGTCTTAAGATCTTTCAAGGCAACCGCAAGGGTTAGATGTAGAAGTGGAAAAGAAAATGTGTGTGAAATTAGCCTTGAAAAACGTTCAACAATTTCGTAGTTCTAGGTTTAGTTGAACGTCCTTTATTTCTTTGTTTTAATTTAAAAGGGTTGTAGCATAAATAATGACAGAGCATTCAGAATTTAACATCAGATTTGAGGCTAAATTCTTAATGATATACAATTAAGAGAGAAAAAAAAGGGAGCGTTTAGATGAATGCTAGTATATTTGTCTCAAGGCCTCATTTAGAATGCACTTGGGAAACGGACGCGTTCCGATCAAATTCAAATTACAGGCTTTTCATGGCTGCAAAAGGATTTGAACGGCTTCAGTTAAACGAAAAGATTATCGAAGACTTCCCCAGCCCACAAATTATTCCGTTTAATTTAATTTCACCCCTGATATGTAAATCGGAGCGAGTGGATTTGGATCCAGCGCAGCAATAATTAAAGGATTTTTTCAGAATAAATTAACTCCTGCGTGTCTGACTGTTACGTTAATGATACTCTACCGAGACGTGTATTGTAATTAAGTTGTGACCCTTCGCCACTACTTATGATGCAGTTGGCCACCCGATAACTATATACGTTTCTGGTTTTAAATTGGTACCAACATCGCTCAAGATGACATTGGGAACATACAGGCCTGTCAGAAAATTGTCACCCGTCGGACTTTAATCCGGCTTAGGATAGGATTCAGATGTGTTGAAAGGAAGAAGTCATTTTGTATAGTGTCAAGGAATCCCACTAAAAACTGGAATGCGAAAGGGGAGATACCAGTAAAGATTACAGATTATTTTGTGCTACTGCATATTATTTACTACAGCATCCCCTGCTTTCTTCGGCACCATACTCCGGCCCAGATCCGTTAAGAAATTTGCTTAATTGATCCGTTTGCAACCGTGCACTTACTCAAAACAACTTTAGTTTGCACAGATCATCACATTTTGTCATCGAGTGTGTTGAGGTTTCATTCACTTATTTGGATTATCTGCACTGTATTGTTTTAAAAATCTTCAATCTTTCTTGGTTAAGAAATGTCCTCTTGAGGAATGCAATGGTTTGGTCGTTTCGGTTCATTTTTGTCTGTCTGTCAAGTTTGTCTCGGCTTATCGCCATCTTCATTTCATTAATCGTGTGGAAATTGTCGGTGTTATCTTTTTGTCTTCATTCTCAAATGCGGAGTGAGTCTGCAGTGACCGTCACGATTCTTTGCCTTCCTGCTTCCTCAGATGCGTCATGTAATTTCTTTCCTTTCTAATCGTTTTAGCAGATTTTTTGGATTATGTCCAATGAGAGTTTCCCACCGTTCCCTCACTCTCGCCTAATCCTATTGACTAAGAGGTTCTTAGATAATCCCAGAGAAGGGTTCTTCGGGTCCGGCTAGGAATGTCCACTCTCCTGCCTCCTGTATCTCCTGTAACCCAGTAAAAACCCTGTTTTGCATACCAACCTTTATTTAATCTGAACATAATTTAGCTTTAGGATATGCAAAATTGAATAAACTAATTAAATGTTCACTACTTTTAATACACGGTCATCACTGATGGTAAGAAACATGATATGGCATATTTCGTCTTTTAAGTTTATTTAAACGTGACGTGTTGTTCAATAGGGTATCAGCTAATAAGAATGGAAGTAATTTCTCAAATAATAAAGTTAAGTGAACGTAAAGATACTTTATTGAGTCAGGAAGTGCATGTGCCGTTTTCGCTTAAGACGTCTACTCCACGTCTTCATGTATCAAAGTGAAGAGTGAGGGCGTATGTAGGA